ATAGCTTTGACATAATTTTTACTTTTTAGAATTTTAAAATTTCTAATATTATAAATTTATCCGATTTTTTTTCTTCGATTTTTTTAGCCTAATCCGATATATTAGCGATATCTTTATATGAAGTATTTTTGTCGATCCGTATTTTTTATCCGATTTTTTAAAATAAAAAACTATTTATTTCCGATTTTATGGTGAGCAGATTTATGGATAGTCCCCAACTTGCTAACTATGATGCAGACACATAGACAGGCGCCTATATGGGCCAGACAACCAGTGGGTGCATCGTGCACACCTGCCTAGGCAGGTCAAAGCGGGGTCACCCCACTCTGATGTAGCTGCTTCATGCGGCCCGCAGGACCCAAGAGTTTGAAGAAGCCTACAAGAGTCCTATTAACCAAGTCATCGTCGTTGATTCTATTCACGACACGAATTTGAAAAGCCTACAGAACCCCATTAGAGTAAATCTTATGCAGAAGATGCATCCATATGCACTGAATGCTTGCATCCCTTCCAACCAATGAAGATTCGCCCTTACCAACCTAACAGAAATGGTAGCACAACCTTATGAAAGACCACCATCGTTCAGCCTGCTCTGACTCTCCATCTGCAAGGCAATTCGCAAATAACATCAATAGCACCAGTTTATCGCTCACCCTACCTTACAGCCAGGGAAAAAACTAGGCCTAAACAACCATACTCGCCACCAGCTTGAAAAAAACACTCCTAATGTCACATCCTTATCACCCACACTAGCCAAGACAAGTAGAATAGGTTTTTCTAGATGCCATCATCTGAAACGATGCATCTCTGCTAAAGCCCAATCAACCAACCATCTAGAACCAGAACATCATGAACGTCATTCTCTGGATGGAAAGAACCTACACCTAGCAACTAGGGAAATTCTCCATCACAATCTTGTATAATTTGAAAACTTACTAGTAGATTGATATGCACTATAACTGTCAAAAGCCATTTCCTGCCTAAAGTAAAAAGCTACGTAGAATTTTCTGAAAAAATATAGAATCAGTGACAGCCTGGGTGTACAACCTAGAGGCAAAGTAGCAAAAATCCAACATGCATATGACTATCCAGTATGCTTGGGCGAAATGACTCTGGAAGGGCCCACCTTGGGCTATATACAATGGCCCTTGGGACGGGTATTTTGCTCCTTTCCCCCCTTAAGTGGGGGATCCAAGTCCACCATTTCTTTTCTAGCCCATATTCTATAAAAGAAAAACAAAATTTAAGATCCGATTCAAATTATTGTTGGAATTGCTTATTGGAGAATGTTGGAGTTTGTGACCTTTAAATAAAGTTTTAAAAACTGGACTGGACTGGTCAGTTTGATTGGTGGCATGGCAAATTAGCACCCAAATGGGCCCGGTCCAACCGCCCAAATGGATATTTTTGGTCCTTTTAATAAAGCAAGGGGTTGTTTTGGTCATTTAAAAGTTTTGGGAGGGTTTCAGGACTTAAAAGATGTTTTAGAGAGAGAGAGAGATTTTGGCATCTCCGTCCCTCCCTCCCTGACCCGGCAAAATCCCTATTGCTTTCGGAGAAAATCCAGCCATACCGAGTGAGATTCCAGCCATCAATCCAGAGTAAATCAGATACAAGGAAGCCTTTTATCGCCTTTCCTGTTAATGATAGTTTTATATTTGGAAAAATTTCAATTTTTTAGGGTTCAAGTAAGACACTTTTTGGGAATTTTTTCATAACTATCTCCATTTTTATCTTTTGTCTTGCAGTTTTCCTTTTTCCTTTTTTAATTATGTGATCAGTTTGGCAGCTGAATCAGTTTGGTCAAACCTGTCTGCTCACACCTAGGGACCTCATAGTTTGATCACCGATCCGGTCCTAATGAAATCCCTTTAAATGCTTGTATAGTTGGTTTTTATTAAAGCGTTCTTGTGTTTTTCCCATGTGTATTTCATCATGCTTTTGGGTGCATTCCCGGGAACTGATTCTGTTCCGCACTATCCTATATCAAGGGAGCTCAATCCTTGTCATAGGGAATCTCAATTCCATGATGTAGGAATCGTAACAAAGAGTTATAAGGGATCTTGAATTATGTTTAAGTTCACATTACCATAGGGCATAAACCTGAATCAGTGCATATGCATCAGTGCCGAGTAGAGAAAACATTATATGCGTTGCATCTTGCACTTGAGAAACGCAGTTCAAACCCACTAGAAACGAGGATCAGAATATAGGGATCAACATTCCATCCAAGATCCCTGACTGGAATTGGGGGATCGATGTTCCAAACCGGGTCCGTGACCTTGCCTACAAGGTTTCAACAACTATGGGGAGGATGCTCCACTTAGGCACCTAGAAAATAACATGACTAGGGAGTTGAGCTCTATCTAGGACATATGGGCTTTGTCACTCTCCCCTTGGCGTGTCACTAGGCCTTGGCTAGATGAGTGAACCCGCATCCTAGGCTGGTTTTGTTTGGTTCCATGGTGCGCATCACCGAAAAGTGTCCATGGGTACCTTGTTGACGACAGCTGCCGCAATGGTGGATGTTCTTCTAATAGCCAGAAGATGAACGAGGCCCTTGAAAAGCAGGATGATTAAGAGGCGTGTAAGGACAAGTGCCTGAAAACCTCAGCAATGGAAACCCTACACAACATGAGTGTTGCTAATTGCCCTATGTCTGTGTGATCCTGGACTTACCTTTGGTATAAATGAATGATTCGATATTGAATCAATCCTTAATTTCGTTCGCATGAGCCTGAGCGCGACTTCCTAATACAAAGAAGAGACTTGGGAACTCCTATACAAGTAGTTTTTAGTCTGCATACTAAAACCTTAAACTTGTCCTTGGGGAGAGACATGGAATCTATGACCACTTCTGGATCGTGGCACTGCGATGCCTTCACTAGCATTGATAGGCCAATCACGAAGCCCTTACATAAGAAATATGTGGGTCACGTGCCTCATGGGAAACTTGTGGGTCATAGGCCCTTTGGGATGGCTTGAGGCCTAGACGTGGCCATAGAATCGCCATTGATCGCCCTGTTGAGATTCTTGTTTCAATGCTAACATATGTCAATTATTTTTAAAGAGCATTTCAAAAGTTCTTGAGGAAAAATGGAAGCACTTTTTTTCTCTATTTAACCACCAAAAATGCTTTCTAGTGAAATTTGAATTTAAATAACCGTCTTTCTTAAATGAAAGAATTGTTTTTATACTAGGACTTTCATGGAATTATAAATGTTGTTATAGGATACAATATTGGAGTTCACTAAGTGCTGGGTGTGGGCTAATGGAGAACAAGGTTCGTTTCCACATGCGACATACAGTCTTGGAATTGTTGACACATTGACTCCATTGGCCATGGGGCCCACATGGTGGCAGAAAAGACCCTAGGAGGTGCATGATCTCCAATGACAACAAACTCTTAGGTAGTTAAGTGGTTAAGATATTTTGGAAATCTCTCAAGTGGTTAGATTAGAATATTAAGAGGAAATCCAATTATAATTAGGAATTGTCACAGAGAATCCAATTACATAGGGAAGTTTTCTATGAAGGTTACATTGTACTCCACATAGAATTGGAAGAGTAATGGAATTGTAATCCTCTAAGAAATAATGGTAAAGTTGTCCAACAATGATGCATGATGACTGATCAAGGAATGGATGGCTAGGATTAGCCATCTCATACCATGGATCTCTCAAAGCAATTAGAAGGCCATTTCACTTAATTTCATCTCCACCCTTACTTTGTTATGAACAGGATATACCACATTTTTTGGATATAACACAGTCCACATGTTTTGGATATAACACGTTCTCAAGGGAGAGAGAATAGAGCTTCACATGAAGCTGAAGTGAGAGGTCACATGGAAAGGTTGAGAGGTCAGAGAGAGAAGGATGTTGACTTCGTAAATTGTAGGGTTTTAAGTTGGAGAGAGAGAGAGAGAGAGAGAGAGGAGGGGAGGGGGGGAGGGGGGGGGTAGGTAGGTGGGTGGGTACGGTAACGTACGTAAGTAACGGTTACGTTTCGTTCCTTACCTACTTACGTTAGTAGTAGAGAGTATTACGTTAGTAGGAAGGAAGGAACG